GAACTTCAGGAGGTTCCTCTCCGCCCAGCTCTCCAGCCTGTCCAGGTCCCTCTGAATGGCAGCACAGTCTTCTGGTGTGTCAGCCACTCCCCCCAGCTTAGTATCATCAGCAGACTTGCTGAGGGGGCACTCTGTCCCTTCCTCCAGGTCACTGATGAATATATTGAACGAGACTGGACCCAGGACTGACTCCTGGGGGGACACCACTAGCTACAGGCCTCCAACTTGACTCTGCGCCATTCACCACAACCCTCTGAGCTCGGCCATCCAGCCAGTTCTCAATCCACCTCACTGTCCACTCATCTAGCCCACACTTCCTGAGCTTACCTAGGAGGATGTGATGGGAGACAGTGTCCAAAGCCTTGCTGAAGTCCAGGGAGACAACATCCACTGCTCTCTCCCCTCATCTCCCCAGCCAGTCATTCCATCATAGAAGGCTATCAGATTGGTCAAGCATGATTTCCCTTTGGTGAAGCCGTGCTGACCACTCCTGATCACCTTCTTGTCCTCCACATGCTTAGTGATGACCTCCAGGAGGAGCTGTTCCATCACCTTTCCAGGGATGGAGGTGAGGCTGACAGGCCTGTAGTTTCCTGGCTCCTCCTTCTTGCCCTTTTTGAAGACTGGGGTGACGTTGGCTGTAGTTGTTCTGGTCTCAGTTTAACAAGGTACTTAAGTATATGTTTAACTTCAAGTGTGTAACCTAACTCAATAATTCTCTAGATGACCTCAAGAGAGCCCTTCTAACCTAGAGTTATTCTATGATTCCTTGATTAATCGCAGCAATATTAACTTGGTGGTGTTTAAGGACATGTTTGTGCTAAAAATGTTACTAAATGTGGATTTTAGGGTCCACTGCAGCAGACAACTGTTTATTTTCATTGTTTACAAAAGAGAAATAACTAGACCCCAAAGACTTAATACATCTATTTTAGTTCTTGTTTGCACTGAAAACTAGATCAGCAGTATGTTTATTGCGTTCCCTAAATCATGCCAGACAGACAGCAAGAACCTTTTGCAAAAATTTTTCTAGCTGGAAAATTGAGGACGAGTTGATTCCTACATCAGCTCCATTGGCTTTAACAATGTTGTGCCCACAGTGGATTTGATGTCTAGTCGAATAAATGGAGTAGAATCCGGAGAAAAGAATAAGAAATGTATTCATCTGCCCTGCACTGCTTGCTGCTGCTGTGATAAAATACAGCCTATTTTTCTAAAGATATTGTGGGAAGATCCATCCAGTCTAACCTGAATCTAGGCTACACAAGTCATCTCAGCTGTCCTTTAACCAGTAGTGAAAGAAAGGCTATTCAGCATACTCCAAAATAGACCCCTACTGTAGGATTAATCTTTGTTCCCTCTACTGACTCAATGACTTGTTAAGAAACAGCAGAGGATATGGAGCTGACTTGCTGACAAAGAAGGGCTCTTTTTGTTTTTCTCTGTTGTTTTTTCAGTGGAAAAAAATTATTCCAAAGTTTTAAGACTGTTTCCATTCATTTTATTGAATTTTACCTGACAAATTGCAATCTCCTTCGGTGTAACCCCGGGTCATTGTTTCTGAGGAATAACGGTTTGGATTTAGGATGCCTTTGATATATCCTACAGAAAGCCATTTTCTATAGCGATATAATTTTCAGCAGTGTATAACCATGAAGGAGATATGCTGTTTCTCCTTATGAAGCAAAGCTGTCATGGGGCTCTGCACTTTCACTAAGAAATCACGGCAGGGGTTGTTCTGATGCTACCCACTTAATGAACAGGTTGTCTAAGAGTGATTTTAATGGGAGTTAGATAAGGCATTACAAGTTTTTTTTTCTTTGCCAAGCTCTTGGTTTGATAGCTCTCTGGGACAGAAAACACCAGTTTCATAATTCACACAGAGCTTAAGCACAAAAATGTTTTTCCGTAGGCTTGGAAAACTGGAGGGGAGGGAGGATTGGTTTGCCTGATTTTAGGTTTTAAGGTTTCTGGTTTATGCGGAGGTTAAGATGAGCTAAAACCAACCTTTGCAAATGCTTGATACAGTAGTTGGCTTTTCACTTTTTACTCCCTCTCTGTCCCTCACAAAGGCTACAGATTCTTGGCCTCATAACTGTACGGTGTTTTCAGATTTTTACAGCCCTCACCCTACCCCTGAGTAGCTGAGCGTGATTAAAGATTTTGTGTTGCGAAAGATGGGGTGCAAAGTTCTCTGTCGATCTAATACTGAAAGGGTTCACAAATCCCACAAGAAGACATAGCAAACGTGCTCGCTGTTGTTTATGGAGAAACACTGTTTGAATAGTCAGGACATGCCTGCTTCCTTTGTGAACATATTCACAAATCCTAAGTGCTATTCAAATGCAAGCATAAATATAAAAATATCTGCACCAGGCAGTCCTTATTCATGGCAAGCCACTTGTCATTCTTGACTTTGAAAGTTTTAGTCAGCATTTCAGTGAGCAGCAATTACCCAGTATGACTCTGTAATGATGAACAGACAGTACTGAAAAACCAAATGATTGAAAATTGTTCTCCAAAACAACTCAGTTATAAGCAAGAACATTCTCCTTTTACCCAAGGTGCCCCCAAATAAGATGAAATAAAAGGATGAATTGAAAAATACCTGTATTAATATAATACTGTAGACTATACTGTAATAAATATAATTGCAACATTTATTATGAATTCCAAACAATACTTAACCAAAGGCTTAAAAAGGCTTTTCTCTCTGCTGCTCGTGCTGACTGTATTTTGCTTAGCTGGAATAATAAAAAAAAAGTTTTCC